TGAAATATCTCAATCAGGAAAATACCACATTATGGCAATTGTTCACATTCGTTGAGCAATTTTTTGAAAATAAACTCCAAACATTTGTTAAGGGGAGGACTAGGAACCTTTTTGGTCCGGGGGGGCAAACACAAACAACAAGCCCTTTGGTGGTAGGAACGGATTTCTATGAGCTAAAAAAAAAATTGTACAGTGCAGATTGTGCCATTTAGCTATATTAGTTTGTGGCCTTGGTAAAACATTATACAACATAAGTTGTTCTTTACAGCTCTTGATGTTTGGTTACATGACTGCAAAGGAAGCTGGAGATGCTGACCTCTGCAAATATGATTGCAGGTCTGCACATGGAACGGGTTGCTACAGTATATGCAGCGCTCACCCCTGGAGGAGTCGATGAGAATATACTCAGGTCTCTCTTGCTAGTACAGAAGCTGCCCGCTACAGACACAGTTCCATGCAAACTGACAATACAAACTCAGTCTAGGGTATGTATTTTGTATAGTTTATTACTGAATAACTGAACAGGAGAGGGGTTTAAGGATATGGATACTCCAAATGAGAGCAGAAATAACAGGAGGACAGCTTCTCATTAATCTTTTCTAAGCACCTTTCCTGGAGGTAACAAGGGGTGTCCAGTATATCTAGGACCCTGTAGGAGCAGTCCCAGACCATACAGAATTCTCTGGCATTTAGTTGGCACTTGCGTAACCAAAAGTCCACAGCAAGTTCTTTTTCTCACAATGTCTCAGGAGCTATCCACCACCCAGCATCCACAAGTAGGTCCTCAGTGAGGGAGTCAAAAGATTTTTCTTCAGACCAGAACTTTAGGACAGTGCCCTACAGCAAACATAATCCTTTAGCAATCTTCTCCAGGCCCACATCCCAGTATCTGCTGAGGCCCAGACTGCAATTTCTTCTCTCACTAGCTATCTCCCAGGGGCAGCAGCCCCATGAGAACTGGAATCCTTCCTGGAGGGAAAGAAAACTCTTGAAAAGCCTTCTAGACATTTATCACCTTTTTAGCAACCTTTTGGATGCCTCCATCCAGGGATTGGCTGGAGCACAATAAATATGCATACTGGTCATTTGACTCTTCCTGCCCTATATTCTGGAATCTTCTTTCAAAAGCAGGTGAGAGAAATCAAACACCCAGCTAGGAAACCCTGACCAGACAAAAACAATAGATCACTGCTCCACTGACTGCAGTGAAGCCAAAAACTAAATTTATCCTGACAGTCTAACCAATACATATAAAATGCCCATTATGGGTCACTGACTATGGTTCCACTCTGATCCATGTCTAAAGGGTGAATTAGATCCACTCAAGGTCAGCAGCCCAATGTAACTTATTAGTACTTTTCTGAATTGCAAATTCCCCTCTAGACCCTAGCCTGGTCCTTTCCCTGTACGTATAGCTTGGCAGTACCTTCTGACTATATCACATTAGCGACATGATTGCTAAAAACTGCAGAAAAGCCCCTCCCTTGCTGACCAGATGAGAGAGGAATAGCTCTCTCAATGACGTAAAAGCTGCAGAATGTAAGTCACCACAGAGAGAGCAATGCCTCACTCCAAAACAACAGATACTCTATATTTATTCAAAAACTTTTTTTGTCGATGAGATTGAAAAATAAGAACTACAGAAGGCAAAATATAAGCAGTTTAAACTTCAGCTTTACAGGATAAACGTACTGTTACATAAAATACATGTAGCGCCGGCTTGTGGCCCTTTAAAGCCACTCAGCAGAACCTTTCACCCAGCCACTGACTGCCAGAGTGCAATGAGTGGAAATAAGGAAGAGGGTGCATATTGGCTGATGCTGCAGTCTAGCACCAAGACCCCCCTAGCAATGGGGCAAGAAGGATTTGCTATTGGCCGTGGTTGCAAAAAAACCAAGCCTCCTGACCTGAGCTACAATGAAACTTAAAAAGGGATAAGTGCCCATGCTGAGGACACAAGTGGTCAGCAGCCCAGAGGACAGGGGCTGAAGGTTGCTGTTATTGCTGCTTCTGTCAGAAACCGGGGGAAAGGGCTCAGTGATGAGTCTGCTTGTAGCAAAGGGCTGATGGGCTGCCAAGGAGTATCAAGACTTATCAGCAGAGAGAGTGACACATGGAAGCAGGTGAGTAGTTCAGCCCTACAGTCCTATTTAGCCCTTACATAATTATCTTGTTCCAAGAACTTGCCATTGTGACATGGCCCTCAAACATTAGCTACTTTTTGATTCAAAAAGAGGCTGATGGGCTGCCAAGGAGGATCAAGACGTATCTGCAGAAAGAGTGACACATGGAAGTAGGTGAGTAGTTCAGCCCTACAGTCCTATTTAGCCCTTACATAATTATCCTGTTCCTGGCAAGAACTTGCCATTGTGACATGGCCCTCAAACATTAGCTACTTTTTGATTCAAAAAGAGGCTGATAGGCTGCCAAGGAGGATCAAGACGTATCTGCAGAGAGAGTGACACATGGAAGCGGGTGAGTATTTCAGCCCTACAGTCCTATTTAGCCCTACATAATTATCCTGTTCCTGGCAAGAACTTGCCATTGTGATATGGCCCTCAAACATTAGCTACTTTTTGATTCACAAAGATAGTTCATAAAACAAGAATGCAGCTCCTAATTTTCCTCAATGTCATTTACAAAGTCAGCTCAGGGGCCTCACCCATATTCTCTCTGCCCAGCGCACAATCCATCAAGTCACTTTCCTCACACTTTAAATGTCATTTCCCCATGTTAGTACCTGATCGAGTGAAAAGCATTTCACGAAGGTAATTGACATTGTAATGAAGAAAGCTGAAACTGTTTCATCTGACATAACTTCTCCAGCCACTTGCTAAGTTTATAATAAGTCAGTGGAAACAATATTTATTGAGTTCCTAAGCAACAGGTGACCAGCGCTCTGCATGGAAACGTATGAAGGAGCCTGGCACACGAAACACATCGGAGAAATAGCCCATTCTACAAGGAGATGAAATGAACATAATATTGCTTTGGACAAGCTACACACGATTACATCATTATGTGTATAAAATACATGACAACCTATCAGAAGTGATATTTTTAACAGATATATAAACCCGTAGAATCTTTGCCAATTACCCTTTTTTTGGAGGAAGTCATATTAAAGAGAAAATGTTGAAAATGAAGAAAACATCTGTCTCACATAAGGGACTGTTTGAAACTTTAATGAGGATATATAATATTAAGAACAAAGGGTTTCTGAATTACCTAAATCAGGATTGAACATTGCCACAGCTACTTTACCTAAACTGCAATATGTGTGGCAGCCTGGGGAAGTAAGGGGAAGTATTTGGCAATGAGGTGGAATCTGCATTTCTGTGTTTGTATTAAATGTATTTCTAAATGCAGCTGGTATAAGTACATTATTTTTGTCTTTAACTACTTCCTGTCCAGTCTATAGCAGAATGATGGCTGGGCAGGCCTCTCATCCCTCTGGGTGGACGTCATAAAAATGTCATTCTCCGTCTCTGCGCTCCTGCACTCCCCTCCCGGGGCACGCAGAGTGGCTATCGGTGGTGGACTGTGTCCCTCGGACAAAGTGCATCACTGATCAGGGTAAAGAGCCAATGACAGTGGCTGTTTACCACATGATCGGCTGTGTCCAATCACAGCTGATCACATGATGTCAACAAACAGCAGATATTCGTTGTTACCAGCTTCTCCTCCTCATACACAGATCCTGTGTGAGGAGGAGAACACAGAAACAGTGGGTTACCCGCTTAAACCCTTTCAGTACTGTGCCCTGATTGCCTGATCACCCCTGTAATAAAAGAGTAACTGTGACAGCAGCAGCCATCAGTGCAGCCTGCCAATGTACCTGTCACAAAACGCCCATCAGTGCAGCCTGTTAGAGTACTTGTCACAGCAGCAGCCATCAGTACAGCATTAATCAGTGTACCTGCAACTACAGTCATCAGTACAGCCTACCAGAGTACCTGTCATTGCAGCCATAAGTGCAGCCTATCAATGTACCTCTTACTGCAGCCATCAGTGCAGCCTATCAATGTACCTCTTACTGCAGCCATCAGTGCAGCCTATCAATGTACCTCTTACCACAGCCATCGGTGCAGCCTATCAGTGTACCTGTCATCGCAGCCATCAGTGCAGCCTATCAGCGTACCTGTCATTGGTGCCATCAGTGTATCCTATCAGTGCACCTGTCACCTCAGCCATCAGTGCAGCCTATCAGTGTACTTCTTACCACAGCCATCAGTGTGCAGCCTATCAATGTACCTCTTACCGCAGCCATCAGTGCAGCCTATCAATGTACCTCTTACCGCAGCCATCATTTCAGCCTATCAGTGTACCTCTTACCACAGCCATCAGTGCAGCCTATCAGTGTACATGTCACCGCAGCCATCAGTGCAGCCTATCATTGTACCTGTCATCGTGCCATCAGTGTATCCTATCAGATTTGCTCTTGGTTTGTTGACCTTGGACATCCAAAACAACCTGGGCCTTTGCATAAGCAGTCTAAGTTGTTTGTTAGATTATCCGCATACCCTCTGTGGGATTAAAAGATGTTCTGTCTAGGGAGGTGCCGAAAGTTCAGTTCATCGGCTTTTGAGCCTCTCTCCCAAATATTAGTATGTATGGTAACCAGTGGCATTGTTCTTAATTCTGTTGTACTCATGCACAGGTGCAGAGATGTGTCTGCTCCAATGCTCCTGTTTCATTTCTGCTCTCAAAGTCCCTAGTAGGTCAAGGAGGGTGCGGTTGAATTTCAATGTTGTGTCATCCCACCCTGAACATTACATATCATCACTTCTCAACTACACCAGAAATCAGTACTTAAATAATGTGCCCATGCAGTCTGGAACAGGTTCCAAAGGTCTTGAGCACCAATGGAGCTGGGAGATAAAATACAAGTTATCAACTAAATCAGGGGTCCTCAAACTTTTTAAACAGGGGGCCAGTTCACTGTCCCTCAGACTGTTGGAGGGCCGGACTATAGTTTAAAAAAAAAAAAACTATGAACAAATGCGGACACAGTACAGGAGATGACCAGAGACTGCGGACACAGTACAGAGGAGATGACCAGAGACTGCGGACAAAGTACATGAGATGACCAGAGACTGCGGACATAATACAGGAGATGACCAGAGACTGCGGACATAGTACAGGAGATGACCAGAGACTGGGGACATACAACGGCGCGGGAATACTGGGCCGGTCGCTCCATAAGACGCACAGACATTTCCCCCCCGAAATATACTGTAAATGCAGGACACCTTCTTGGGTCAGATCTGTATACAATGTAAAGAGGGGGGGGGATATAAGGAGGATATATATAGAGAGAGAGAGGGGGGGGAAAAGAGAGAGGGGAGGGGGGTAGAGAGAGAGGAAGGGGGAGAGAGAGGATGGGGGAGGGAGAGGGGGGGAGAGAGAGAGGGGGAGGGGAGAGAGAGAAAGAGGAGGGGGAGAGAGAGGGGGGGAGAGGAGGGGGAGTGAGAGGAGGGGGGGAGAAAGAGGAGGGGGAGTGGGAGGAGAGAGGAGGGGGGAGGGGGGAGAGAGGGGAAGGGGGGGAGAGAGGAGGGGAGAGAGAGGAAGGGAGAGAGAGAGGAGGGGGGAGAGAGAGAGAGAAGGGGGGAGAGAGAGAGGAGGGGGGGAGAGAGGAGGGGGGGGGAGAGAGGGGGGAAAGAGAGAGGGAGGAGATCGATCATCTATTGCACTTATCTAGGGTCCGTGTCCGTGATACCCGACATGCAGCGATGGAGTCTCCTCTCTTGCTCCCCTCTTCATGGTCAGCTCTAGGCTCTGCCCTCCGGCCGTGACAGTTGCATGCACTGATCAGAATAGATGGCCGGCTGGCTGCAGAGAGGCCAGGTGAGTGGTGCGGGTTCATAAGCCGAGCCCACCTTCCCCTGTTCTAGAATTGATGATCCCGCCCTCCTGCCTCCCTCCCGAGCCCTGCCGAGCTCTCCTGACCTGCCAAACCCTAGTCCCTTGCCTCGCGGCAGATACGCCCCTGCCCGGCGGGCCGGATAAATGTCCCCTGAACTAAATGGTCAGTGAATGTGATACCTACTAGACCGAGGGACCCATCTAATTCTTCTGATGGATTGGTGTTCTTAGCTGAACGCACACAAAAGCTCAATATTGGGCATACAAGGTACTGCACCAATGAGCAGGTAACAGTCAGCAGAGCAGATACAAATCAGATAACCGCTGCACAAATGTTCCAGTATAGGCATAAAGCTAAAAGAGGAGTATCACCAAGCATACTGTATATAGCATACAAAGTGGCTTCAGCAGTGAAGAGGGGATGAACAGCAGCAAAGCAAAGAAATTGTTAGCATAAACACAAAATGTAAGAAATTGGGTATTCCAGTGTCTCTGTCAGGAAACAAACTATCAAGTACTGCTCTATGTGTGAAAGCTCTCATTAACCTTTCTAAATGGTGGTATATAGCCTAGTATATGGTTGCTAGAAATTTGCTATACCATACTGATTCTCAATTGCATTGCCCTAGAGAACAAAGAGCATTTAGTGCTAATAAGATCGGGACCAGGGTGGTGCCATTAAACTGGACATTGTGGAGTGTGTTATATAGAAGGCAAAGAGATTGTTCCCACTGACCTGTTTCATAAATGTCTGCATGGACTTTTTGGCAGTTTTTTGATAGAGAATATTTTTGATAGGGGAGCTTTAGTTGATTTTTGTACAGTAAAATTATTTTGCATTTCAGCATTCTATTTAACTGTTTAGAGTGTCGCTGGTCTGTTGTCTCTTTTGGGCTTCACGGTCCTTTCATTCTTCCTTTCTTTTGACTGGACTCTCCAAGGAGGTATGGGCGGCCTTAGTATCTCCAAAACATGATGCATGCCCCCATAAACAGTTGTCACTGGAAAAAGTGTCCTCTCCTGTTCCAATGCTGGTGAAAAGTTCACATTTTGGATTTTGTTTCACTTTCAGTCCTGGTGAAAATGGTCAACAGGAAAAATGGGGTGAATATCCCCAGCAAGGACATAGACACCAATAAAAACCAATAATACAAATATAGGGCAATCTTAGACTAAAACCTGTTAGAGTCTGCAAAAGACTTGAGACTGGGGCAGAGGTTCACCTTCCAGAAGGACAATGACCCTAAACATACAGCCAGAGCTACAATGGAATGGTTTAGATCAAAGCATATTCATGTGTTAGAATGGACCAGTCAAAGTCCAGACCTAAATCCAATTGAGAATCTGTATCAAGACTTAAAAATTGCTGTTCACAGATGCTCTCCATCCAATTTGACAGATCTTGAGCTAATTTGCAAAGAAGAATGGGCAAAAATGACATGCAAAGCTGGTAGAGACATACCCAAAAAGACTTGCAGCTGTAATTGCAGTGAAAGGTGGTTCTACAAAGTATTGACTCAGAGGGGCTGAATTCTTTAACTGAGCAAACGTTTAACCTACAGTTTATGAACAATTTAAAATCCAAGGTTAACCATCCATCCACATTCCTCTTGCATAATAAATTTAAGCCCCAATGAAGGGTGATTTGTGCATAACCCCTAAAAGACACTGGGATTGATTTACTAAAGGCAAATAGGCTGTGCACTTCAAGTGCACTGAAAGTGCAGTTGCTCTAGATCTGAGGGTAACAAGCAAGAAAAATTTTTAAAACAAGCATTTTTGCTTGCACATGATTGGATGAAAGAAATCAGCAGAACTTCACCTAATTTCAGAGCTTCCCCTCAGATATAAAGCAACTGCACTTGCAGTGCACAATATACTGTATTTACCTTTAGTCAATCAACCCCATTGGCTGTCAACATTTGATAGAATCTTTATGTTGTGAAAAATAAAAAAAATTATATGACTGATCCCTGCACCTTGGAGTTTTCAATAGAGTGCTGCCATATACAAAAAAAGTTTTAGGGGGGAGGGATCCCCAATGAAAGGAGGTACCATAAGTGATCCAAGTAGTTTGACTAAAACAAATTTAATTGAAAACCAGTATTAAGATTAGTAACATCAGAGAATAACTCACCATTAAAAACTTGACAAAGTTGTCAAACTAAAACCAAGGAGTCTGGACACTAAGTGCCATAAAGTGATGTCTACCACCAGTGGATTATGTGTTATGACACACTTATGACTAAAATTTTTTTGTATATGTGCCTTTTTGGGTGTATTGTGATCCACAACTTATTTGGTGAGTTAGTGGACTTGATAATCTATTCTTCCCTTTTTTTTATAGTGCCGCTGTTGATACAGAGACACCTAAAACTATAACTGAATAGAGTGCTGCCACATTATAGCAACCATATGATATATTCAGAACCAAGATTGGAGCCAAGCACTTTAACACCCAATTTCCAATCAGTTTATAGAGGACAACTCCCAATGGGGGCACAAATTCAATAAGCAAATGTCTAAAAGGGGATTTCTCCTTACTTTGGAAAGACTTCCTTTCACTTTCTATTACTTCCCTACTCTATACCAATCTAAAAAAGCTTTGGCTTTTTATATATACTTCAAACTCAAAAGGTCTTAAAAGAGGCACCATGCAATGCAGTGTAAGTATTATTCATCCATTCACACTTTGTTGCAATGCATGTTAACCAGTACTTCCCTATAGCAGAAATACTGTTACAGGGCGGCAACGGGTGCGCACAATCACATATATACGTTATTTTGCTGTTTCGGGTAGGGAACGCATGCACACCCTACCCACGCCGCCATTTGTGGCCTCGGCTGCCATTCTCCAGGTCCTGGCTGGTGATTACTCGCCGGCACCCGGTGATCGCTGAGTATCTCCGACGGGGGGAGAGACCTGTGTATAAAAATGCAGATTTCTCCCCTGTCATCTCCTGCACACTGGTTTATATGGCTCTGCATAGCAGAGCCATGGAAAGCAATGTGCTTACAGTGAAGCACACACACAGCCCAAGTAGTGAAACAGCACACAGTTAACCCTTTGATCACCCCAGATGTTAACCCCTTCCTGCCCAGTGCCATTAGTACAGTGTCAGTGGTTTTTATTAGCACTGATCACTGTATTGGTGTCACTGAGGATGTCAGTGACACCAAGTCAGTTGGCTCTAGTGTCAGAATGCCCGCCACAGTCCCGCAGTCCCACTATAAGTTGCCGATCGCCGCCATTACTAGTAGAAAAAAAAATTCCAATATATATATACCGCCATTTGTAAATGCTATAACGTTCACGTAAACCAATTAATTTACATGGATTAGAATTTTTTTTAGCAAAAACATGTAGCAGAATACATTTTGGCCTAAATTTATGATGAAATTTGATTTTTTAAATTTTTTTACTGGACATGTTTAATAGCAAAAAGTCAAAAATATTGTTTTTTTTTTCAAAATTGTCACTTTTTTCGTTCATAGTGCAAAAAATAAAAACGTACAGGCAATCAAATGTCACCAAAAGAAAGCTCTATTTGTGGGAAAAAAAGGACATAAATTTAATTTGGGTGCAGTATTGCATGACCATGCAATTACCAGTTAAAGTAATGCAGCGCCGTATCACAAAAAATGGCCTGGTCAGGAAGGGGGGTAAATCCTCTGGAGGGAAAGTGGTTAACATTCTACCACAATGCATGGCAATGCACTTACAGTTACACTTCTGTGCAGGGTGTTGCAGTGCAATTCATTGTGAATGTCACCCCAATGCATTGCACAGTAGAGCCAAACACACAATGCATCACAACACATATACAGTGCATTGAGGTACTCTGCGTTACTATAAGGGTCATGTACATTTGTTCATCTGTTGTGGTACATTAATCCGCCATTTAATAAATGCAGGCAGTGTAAGTACCTGAATTTGACCTGGTATCAGCCTCCTGCAGCCCTTGCACAGCAGAGCTTAGTGTGTAAGGAGAAGAAGCAGCACAAGAGACAAAGAGGTGAGCTCATCCCTATATTGCTTCTGCTTTTACAGGCCCAGAACAAACTGGGCTCAGAGGCAGTGAATTGAATAATGAGGACATTTGATGACAGACATAAGTAAGACAGGGGAAATCTCTGGATTGGAGCTGGATTGAAAAATTAAGAGCTGGTTTAGTTCAGATATGTTTTAATAGGCAATGGATTTTTATCTTATTATTTTTATTATTATTATCTGAAGTTCTTCTTTAAATGTTTATATTTTTAATGGTGACTTGATACTGATTTTTGCTGTCCACCAATCATCATTATGAAGCCCCTTAGCAAAAACAGTATATGCCTGTAAATGACTTGGGTTGCATGCCGTCTCTCTGTAATTTCTTTTGTACTGCAGAAATTACTCAAAAGTCTAAAAGTAAAAAGCAAAGTGCAGTGATTTGGCTTAGGTGCTGCGCTCTCTGACCTAACTGCATATGGCCCATAATACATTTATTTCCATTCCTGGCTCATCCTGCATTTAATCTGTTTTGACGCTGTGGACTATGTCCATTTTTTACCTGCCACTTGCTGTTTCTTCCCATACACACATACAT